AGGTCATCATTACACACCATCAAACGGCATGAAACCCCATCAAACACAATCAAACACCATAAAACACCATTAAACCCCATTAAGCCCCATCAAACCCGATTAACACAATTAAACACCATTGTGTATGTGTATATATACATACATACGTACATACATACATACATACATTACATTACATTACATTACATAACATAACATAACATTACATTACATTACATTACATTACATATATTACATACATTACATTACATTACATTACATTACATTACATATATTACATACATTACATTACATTACATTACATTACATTACATTACATTACATTACATTACATTACATACATACATATATGTTTAATATATATGTATATTATGGGTGCATTTTTTTACTAGCTGGATGATGGGTCAAGTAGCATACTGGAGCCGCTGTGGTCTCCCTTGGCGTTGGCCGCAGATGCACTGAAGGGCCCTGTGCTTTTGCCCCTCGAGTCCTGGACCCATGGTTAACTGGGAATTTGTATATGTTTGATAAATAATATATATATATATATTATTAATATATGTGTGTATATATATATATATGTGTATTCCCAAGTCACTCAGTAACATCTTTCTGCTTTTCGTACAGTAAAGATGCAGATGGCCGCACTCAACACCGATGATCAAAACTTGTGATTCCCCCCGAAGGCGCCTTCGTTGAGAGACCAAAATGACCACTTACAACCAGCCCCCTGCTCCCAAGATCAGAACTGTGGCTGTCCTTGCATTTTGCCTTGGTGTTGGAAAATGAAGGGAAGGCCCCAAAAAACTCTGCTGCAAATGAGGGTTCTTCTACATGTTTTACACCCAGCTTCGTTGTATTATATTCAGGCTTGCTGCCAACACCCCAGATACAAGGGCAATTAAACTGGGTTTTTGAAAAAAGAGGTAAAAGAAAAAAAACACACACACCTTGTATATACCAAAAAATCTGGAAGGTGAAATCTCCAAAAAGTGGATATGACCAACAATATCTTGCCCAGCATTAAACACCATTAGACACCATTAAACCCCATTAGACACCATTAAGCACCATTTTAAACACCATCAACCAACATGAAATACAATTTTAAACCCCATTAGACACCAGTAAACACCATTTTAACCCCATTAGACACCATTAAGCACCATTTTAAACACCATTAACCAACATGAAATACAATTTTAAACCCCATTAGACACCTGTAAACACCATTTTAAACACCGTTAAACACCAGAAAATCTGGGAGATGCCTGGAGATGACCGGAGCAGCTGGTGAGCCCAGTGACCCGGCTGTAGTCCAGGCTGCCTTTGGACTCCAACAGGGACTTCACTTCCAGGACCTGCTGTGAACTCCCATGGGAATTCCCCATGGGGAAATCCCAAAAATGACATCTGGTTGTTATAATTTACCCAGATATATATATATATATATATATTTATTTATATTTATTTATATTTATCTATATATATATATATATTTATCTATATATATATATACTGGTTGGTGGTATACCTACCCCTCTGAAAAATGATGGAGTTCCTCAGTTGGGATGATGACATTCCCAACATATTAGGAAAGTCAGAAGTCGCCATGTTCCAGTCACCAGCAACCAAACATGGATGTTATTTTGGAGCTACCCTGATGACTTCGGAAACCAGACGATCCGAAATCTTCGTCTTGAATACGTGTTGATATGTTTGATCTAGATCTGGCAGCGAGAATCTTGAAATCAATGAAGATTTTCCAGTAAATAGCCAAAAACACATAGAAAATCTGCAGGACAAGTCAGGTAACCATCACCAACCATCACCTACATACTATGGTTTTGCCAAAGCAGAGTGGCAACTGTTTTCGCGATTTTTAGATCACGGCATACCTTGGATCAAGACTGATTACTTTGGCCCATGTGAGCTGTGAAAAAATATCCCTATCCCATTCTGCTGCTTTGCCAATAGGTCTCTGGTATCCCTATGATTGGAAGAATCTCCAATAAACCACTTACTATGACAGTATGACTAACTATCCCCAGTAAGTATGACTTTACTAGCCAATCAACCGGACTGTTTTGAATGGTGATTTTTTCACCCATCAACAGGGTTTCCCTGGATCACTTCAGAACACCATCCCAGACACCACTTTCGCACGTGCACTGGATGGTGACGTCCAGTCACACCGGGTACAGTAAGGGAGGATGTGGAGGATGGGGTGGATGGGGTGGGTGGGGTAGGGTGGGGTGGGAGGACACAACTCATGTATGACACCTTCTGTGTAAGAACTTGTGTATATTGATGTGTATGATGTATGTATGTGGTATTGATGAAGCTGATGTAGATGATGTTGATGAAGCTAATGGTGATGAAGTTGATGAAGATTATGTTGGTGATGTATGTGATGTAGATGAATTTGATATAGATGAATATAGAGGATGTATGTGGTGTAGCTGTAGATGATGTAGATTATGTAAAGGATGTAAAGGATATAGGAGAGATGTAGGAGAGATGTAGGAGAGATGTAGGAGAGATGTAGGAGAGATGTAGGAGAGATGTAGGAGAGATGTAGGAGAGATGTAGGAGATGCAGTGGTGTTTGTAATGTAGATGAAATTGATGTAGATGATCTATGTGATATAAACGATGTAGAAGATCTTCTGTAGATAACCTAAGATCATCGGCAGGTCAGCGCACCTCATCGAGGCTTAGAGGCTCCTCTCGACAGAACTTTTCCAACCTCCGTCAAAAACGACAGCGGAGTGGAAGGTTTGGGATTGGAGTGTTTAAAGTTTATACAGACCCTCTGGTAATTTAACATAGCTATGGAAAATCACCATCTTTAATGGGCAATTCAACTATTTCAATGGCCATTTTCCATGGCTATGTTAAATTACCAAGGGGTATATATATATATACCAAAGCTTCTTGGGTTCTTATATCCACTAAGGATTAATATTTTCACTATAGCTGTTAGTTGACCCGCCCCAGATTTGGAGAGTCACGAAGGATCGGATCCTGGATTCGGAGTGGGATTGGGCTTAGGAGAACCTTCTGATAGGACAGGGATGATGGATGGTAGGCAGATATGATCTCTTCATATCTGTTGTTTTTTGGGCATTTAATAATATGATCCCTAGAAAATCATCATATGGGTGATCCATTCTTGACTTGATGTTCATTGACACCCATGGATTTAGCGATCTTCCAACATGTTCCCATCCAAGTGGCGCTGGTTGAAAGGGTGGCTGCACTTTCACCGGCATAGCGGCGCTGGCCCCCCACGGACCGGACACAAAAGGCAGCTGCAAAAAAAGAGAGACTTCAGCAGGATATGTTGGAATGGGAATGTTCTTACGTGGAAAATCAGTCAGATTTCTTCAGTGCAAAACAGGTACCTTACCTCAATCATCCTCAATCTTACCTCAATGGTGCAATCGAACCGACTAAAACTTCCAAAGGCATCATTCAGTGACGAGATGTGACTCAGTTCCTTTCTCAGAAATGTCCAACTTTTCTGACTCTCCCAACTTTTCTCACGGGGTCAATGGGATGGTTTTGTTGGGAAATGTTGCAGGAAACACCGTACCGAAGTTTCATGGGAAAAAACAAACGGTTTCTTGTAGATTTTAAACCAATCCATCGATTTTCCAACGTCAGCCATGAAAGTAAAAAAGGCCGGCCTTTGCTTCCCACCAGCAGAGCCTGTCACCTGCAGAACACAAAGGAGACAGCAACAGTGTCCGAAGATAGTGAGAACAGCAAATGTCAGAAAAAGGAAATCGAATAATAATTATAGACTATAACTATAACCATATTACTTACAATTACAGGACATGTCAGAAAAAGGAAATGATAGACTATGACTATAACTATAACATACTACAACCATACTATGACTATAACTATAACCATACAGGAAACACGATGCAAACGGGAAAAAAAAAACAATCCTGCCTCGGTCGCCTTGGGACTGCCTCGGTGGAAAAAACGATGGACACAAGATGATTCTCGCATCCAGTTAAGAGGGATGTTCCCTACACTAATGTAATATACATGTGTGTATATATGGATATACATATGTATATCGGGATATGCATATGTGTATACGGATATACACATGTATATAGCCTCTGGTAATTTGAGATAGCTATGGAAAATCGTCATGTTAAATATATATATATATATATCATATATCTATATAGTAGGCGCAGATGACACGGGACTTGGCGGCCGATTTAGCCGAGGTTTTTTGGCACATGACATGGGATTTATGTATCAGTTTTGCTATGATGTTCAATTACACATGGGGCATGCATTTTTCCATTTTTTTGACAGATGACATGGGAATATTTGATCAATTTTGACAAGAATCTTGGGACTTCCAGGAAAACACATCTGCAATTTGTTTTTGCTCCGCATCGAACGCTGCAACAATCCAAATGCCATCAGTACAGTGTGTGAGTTAGTTGACATGACATGTTTTGCATCTTTTAGAGCCCAAACAATTGCAGAGGTCCTATGTCAGGTTATTTTTTCAAGGCACTTTACAGATTACACAGGACTTATGCATTTTTCTGTTTTCTTTCACTTTGCAGATGACATGGGAGTTTGCGTTTTTGGGTATGTCCGACTACTCCCATGTCATCTGCAGGTACTATATATATATATACATATATATCATCAATGAATAGGCCATGTTCCATAGCAAACTGTTTTAATCACCAGAGGGTAAGATATGTAAATGGAACATAGGAATAATACTTATATACCGTAATTCATATATCTATTCATTTATTTATACATGTAGTCAGCGGCAATATGTATACAGTAATATACTACATGTATCAATAGAATTAACAGCTGACGTCGCGCCTGAAACTACAAAGGCTCCACCAGCTTTGGGGCCTGACATCGGTCGGATAGGATCAATAAAAAAAGGCCCGGTCGTATGTGCGATGAAATATGGCATGATTCATAATTCTGTTGGATTTTTTTAGATGTTTAAAATATCATCAACGCCAAAAATGGGAAATTATATGGATTGAGAATGGAACGATATGGGATTCAAAGGATGTTGTTTGGTTTCTGTTTGTTGATGTTTTACTGATATTTCTCTGGGTGAAGTCACCGGTGCTGATGAATTTCGGGAGCCGAATCCCAAATCCGTCCCACTAGGATGATCCTGGAAAATGCTCATGGGGCCCCCACCAATCCATTTGAAAAGGGAAATGTCCACTGTAAACCATCCATTTTTGGGTATCCCCAAAATATAGGAAGCCACCATTTTGCTGCATTTTTGGGTATCCCCAAAATATAGGAAGCCACCATTTTGCTGCATTTTTGGGTATCCCCAAAATATAGGAAGCCACCATTTTGCTGCATTTTTGGGTATCCCCAAAATATAGGAAGCCACCAGTTTGCTGCATTTTTGGGTATCCCCAAAATATAGGAAGCCACCATTTTGCTGCATTTTTGGGTATCCCCAAAATATAGGAAGCCACCAGTTTGCTGCATTTTTGGGTATCCCCAAAATATAGGAAGCCACCATTTTGCTGCATTTTTGGGTATCCCCAAAATATAGGAAGCCACCAGTTTGCTGCATTTTTGGGTATCCCAAAAATATAGGAAGCCACCATTTTGCTGCATTTTTGGGTATCCCCAAAATATAGGAAGCCACCAGTTTGCTGCATTTTTGGGTATCCCCAAAATATAGGAAGCCACCATTCTGCTGCATTTTTGGGTATCCCCAAAATATAGGAAGCCACCATTTTGCTGCATTTTTGGGTATCCCCAAAATTTAGGAAACCACCATTTTGCTGCTTTCGAGTCATTTCGTATCTTTCGGAAGTGCAACCAGAATGTTTTTCTATCTCTATCTCAGCTGGTCAGCAGAAAATCTACAGTGTGCTTCAAGCATGGCTGGAACATCTCCCATGAATCCTTCGAGGATTCTCCCAACAAACTAAACATCCATCTATATAAATTTGTCCCGTTGAGGTAAACATTCATATGAACGTTTCCAAAAATGGGGGTACCCCTGTTCATCATCCATTTTAGATTGGGATTTTCCATCATAAACCATCCAGCGATTGGGGTACCGCCATTTACGGAAACCCCATATCGGTTCACGTGTTTTAAACAGTGAGCACAGCACCTCCGGTGAATTTCGCTGACTTGGCCAGGTGTGTAGGGAAGAGTCGGGACCTGCGGAATCGATGGAAACCAAATCCGGGGCACCAAAAAAAACAGCAAGAATGATGTAGATAATCGTAGACATCAAAATATGTTGCATATAATACTGCATATATCATGGTATACGAAGATATAAATATCATACTAGGTTTAAGAACAAATTCAACCAGTGATGTCTGCAAATTGTTTTTCTTAAGTAGACACAGACATCATCCAGCATCATGGCCGCCATGGTACACATCAGCGTTACCTCCAAATCTTATTGCTTTGATAAAGTTGAAGTTCATGAAGATTCTGAAGGAACTTTCAGGTTTCATAAAGTTTCAGTTCATTGGTAATAATGATCACTGAAAGTCACTTTGGATAGTCAAAGTGCTCTGTGATCGGATGCGGTGAATCCTCTGAATATGTGTGAGAAATGCTCCAAGGCTTTGGACTTTACCATTGAAAATCCAACAGCACGCTGCCCTCTCATCTTAGACAAGGGCTTGTTGATTAACACCATCTCAAACAAAAATTGGGAATTCCCATTTGGGATCATCTGACAATGGGGTATACCGGTACACCTCCAATTACAACATTTGCATATACACTCTAGTGAACAAACGTAGCAACCACTTTCCAATGAAAACTAGGGACAATTGCTACGTTAGTTTTCTGGATAAAAGTGCCAGTATGCAGCCATTTGGGTTGCCATGTTAGCTATATATCCCTCTCATACTTCCCTATAAAATCTAGGGGGTCATCCCCCACTATAAAACGAAACCTTTGGATTCGCCGGACATCCCCAAGAGATCCCCCAGATGACGCCAATCCATCCCATCCACAGCCATTGGATCACCAGTGGGACTTGTGCAGCCATGGATACCACAACAATCAACAGTGCTTCCCCCCAATTCCCCCTGCCCCCAGGGGCCACATAGGAACCTAACCTAGCAATTTTTGGGTGCCTGGTGGCTGCAGGCCGTAATCCCTTCCCCTAGGGACCACAGTGGAGCATTTTACCAGGCACCCAAAAATTGATTTTCATGGCCTTTTTCCGATCAATTTCAATAACACAGCTCTATTCAAAAATACTTTTTTGGGGCTCGATCTGGCCGGGAGGCCATTTGGTGGTGATTTTCAGCAACTTAGTCCCTGGAAATGGAGAAGACACATGTTCCCCATAGCTAGGTTAGCCAGTGGCGTATGCACTGGTGGCTGCAGGCCGTAACCCCCTGCCCCCAGGGACAACAGTGAAGCATTTTACGCAGGAACCTAACCTAGCAATTTTTGGGTGCCTGGTGGCTGCAGGCCGTAATCCCTTCCCCTAGGGACCACAGTGGAGCATTTATGTTTTTTGCCTTTTTTTTCCGATCAATTTCAATAGCACAGCTCTATTCAAAAATGCATTTTTGGGGCTCGATCTGGCCGGGAGGCCATTTGGTGGTGATTTTCAGCAACTTAGTCCCTGGAAAATGGGAAACAAATGTTCCCCATAGCTAGGTTAGCCAGTGGCCTGGTGGCTGCAGGCCGTAACCCCCTGCCCCCAGGGACCACAGTGGAGCATTTTACGCAGGAACCTAACCTAGCAATTTTTGGGTGCCTGGTAGCTGCACGCCGTAATCTTCCTCTGGGGAAACAGTGGAGCATTTTACGCAGGAACCTAACCTAGCAATTTTTGGGTGCCTGGTGGCTGCAGACCTTAATCTTTTCCCCTAGAACCACAGGCACCCAAAAAATTCAAAAATGCATTTTTGGGGCTTGGTCTGGCCGGGAGGCCATTTGGTGGTGATTTTGAGCAACTTAGACCCTGGAAAATGAAAAAACAAATGTTTTACGCAGGAACCTAACCTAACAATTTTTAGGTGCCTGGTGGCTGCACGCCGTAATCCCTTCCCCTAGGGACCACAGTGGAGCATTTTACCAGGCACCCAAAAATTGATTTTCATGGCCTTTTTCCGATCAATTTCAATAACACAGCTCTATTCAAAAATACTTTTTTGGGGCTCGATCTGGCCGGGAGGCCATTTGGTGGTGATTTTCAGCAACTTAGTCCCTGGAAATGGAGAAGACACATGTTCCCCATAGCTAGGTTAGCCAGTGGCGTATGCACTGGTGGCTGCAGGCCGTAACCCCCTGCCCCCAGGGACAACAGTGAAGCATTTTACGCAGGAACCTAACCTAGCAATTTTTGGGTGCCTGGTGGCTGCAGGCCGTAATCCCTTCCCCTAGGGACCACAGTGGAGCATTTATGTTTTTTGCCTTTTTTTCCGATCAATTTCAATAGCACAGCTCTATTCAAAAATGCATTTTTGGGGCTCGATCTGGCCGGGAGGCCATTTGGTGGTGATTTTCAGCAACTTAGTCCCTGGAAAATGGGAAAACAAATGTTCCCCATAGCTAGGTTAGCCAGTGGCCTGGTGGCTGCAGGCCGTAACCCCCTGCCCCCAGGGACCACAGTGGAGCATTTTACGCAGGAACCTAACCTAGCAATTTTTGGGTGCCTGGTAGCTGCACGCCGTAATCTTCCTCTGGGGAAACAGTGGAGCATTTTACGCAGGAACCTAACCTAGCAATTTTTGGGTGCCTGGTGGCTGCAGACCTTAATCTTTTCCCCTAGAACCACAGGCACCCAAAAAATTCAAAAATGCATTTTTGGGGCTTGGTCTGGCCGGGAGGCCATTTGGTGGTGATTTTGAGCAACTTAGACCCTGGAAAATGAAAAAACAAATGTTTTACGCAGGAACCTAACCTAACAATTTTTAGGTGCCTGGTGGCTGCACGCCGTAATCCCTTCCCGTAGGGACCACAGTGGAGCATTTTACTACGCACCCAAAAATTGATTTTCATTACCTGTTTTTCCCGATCAATTTCAATAGCACAGCTCTATTCAAAAATGCATTTTTGGGGCTCGATCTGGCCGGGAGGCCATTTTGTTGTGATTTTCAGCAACTTAGTCCCTGGAAAATGAAAAAAAACAAATGTTCCCCATAGCTAGGTTAGCCAGTGGCGTATCCACTGGTGGCTGCAGGCCGTAACCCCTTGCCCCCAGGGACCACAGTGGAGCATTTTACGCAGGAACCTAACCTAGCAATTTTTGGCTGCCTGGTGGCTGCAGGCCGTAGTCCCTTCCTCTAGGGACTACAGGCACCCAAAAAATTCAAAAATGCTTTTTTGGCGGGCTCGATCTGGCCGGGAAGCCATTTGGTGGTGATGTTGAGCAACTTAGTCCCTGTAAAATGAAAAAACAAATGTTCCCCATAGCTAGGTTAGCCAGTGGCGTATCTACTGGTGGCTGCAGGCCGTAACCCCAGGCCCCCAGGGACCAGCATTTTACGCAGGAACCTAACCTAGCAATTTTTGGGTGCCTGGTGGCTGCAGGCCGTAATCCCTTCCCCCTAGGGACCACAGTGGAGCATTTTACCAGGCACCCAAAAAATGATTTTCATTGCCTTTTTTTCCCGATCAATTTCAATAGCACAACTCTATTCAAAAATGCATTTTTGGGGCTCGATCTGGCAGGGAAGCCATTTGGTGGTGATTTACAGCAACTTAGTCCTTGGAAAATAAAAAAAACCAAATGTTCCCCATAGCTAGGTTAGCCAGTGGCGTAACTACTGGTGGCTGCAGGCCGTAAACCCCTGCCCCCAGGCACCACAGTGGAACATTTTACGCAGGAACCTAACCTAGCAATTTTTGGGTGCCTGGTGGCTGCAGGCCGTAATCCCTTCCCCTAGGGACCACAGTGGAGCATTTTACCAGACACCCAAAAATTGATCTTCATTGCCTTTTTTTCCCGATCAATTTCAATAGCACAGCTCTATTCAAAAATGCATTTTTGGGGCTCGAGCTGGTGGTGATTTTGAGCAACTTAGTCCCTGGAAAATGAAAAAAAAATGTTCCCCATAGCTATGTTAGCCAGTGGCGTATCCACTGGTAGCTGCAGACCGTAACCCCTTGCCCCCACGGACCACAGTGGAGCAATTTACGCAGGAACCTAACCTAGCAATTTTTGGCTGCCTGGTAAAATGCTCCACTGTGGTCCCTGGGGGCAGGGGGTTACGGCCTGCAGCCACCAGTGGATACGCCACTTGCTAACCTAGCTATGGGGAACATTTGTTTTTTTCATTTTCCAGGCCAAATGGCTTCCCGGCCAGATCGAGCCCCCCAAAAATGCATTTTTGAATTTTTTGGGTGCCTGTAGTCCCTAGAGGAAGGGACTACGCCTGCAGCCACCAGGCAGCCAAAAATTGCTAGGTTAGGTTCCTGCGTAAAATGTTCCACTGTGGTCCCTGGGGGCAAGGGGTTACGGCCTGCAGCCACCAGTGGATACGCCACTGGCTAACCTAGCTATGGGGAACATTTGTTTTTTTCATTTTCCAGGGACTAAGTTGTTGAAAATCACAACAAAATGGCCTTGCGGTCAGATCGAGCCACAAAAATGCATTTTTGAATAGAGCTGTGCTATTGAAATTGATCGGAAAAAACAGGTAATGAAAATCAATTTTTGGGTGCATAGTAAAATGCTCCACTGTGGTCCCTACGGGAAGGGATTACGGCGTGCAGCCACCAGGCACCTAAAAATTGTTAGGTTAGGTTCCTGCGTAAAACATTTGTTTTTTCATTTTCCACGGTCTAAGTTGCTCAAAATCACCACCAAATGGCCTCCCGGCCAGACCAAGCCGGGTGCCTGTGGTTCTAGGGGAAAAGATTAAGGTCTGCAGCCACCAGGCACCCAAAAATTGCTAGGTTAGGTTCCTGCGTAAAATGCTCCACTGTTTCCCCAGGGGAAGATTACGGCCTGCAGCCACCAGGCACCCAAAAATTGCTAGGTTAGGTTCCTGCGTAAAATGTTCCACTGTGGTCCCTGGGGGCAGGGGGTTACGGCCTGCAGCCACCAGTGGATACGCCACTTGCTAACCTAGCTATGGGGAACATTTGTTTTTTTCCATTTTCCAGGGACTAAGTTGCTGAAAATCACCACCAAATCGCCTCCCGGCCAGATCGAGCCCCAAAAATGCCTTTTTGAATAGAGCTGTGCTATTGAAATTGAGCGGAAAAAAAAGGCAATAAAACTATATTTTTGAGTGCCTGGTAAAATGCTCCACTGTTGTCCCTAGGGGAAGGGATTACGGGTTGCAGCCACCAAACACCCAAAAATTGCTAGGTTAGGTTCATGCGTAAAATGCTCACTGTGGTCCCTGGGGGCAGGGGGTTACGGCCAGCAGCCACCAGGCCACTGGCTAACCTAGCTATGGGGAACATTTGTTTTTTTTTCATAATCACCACCACATGGCCTCCCGGCCAGATCGAGCTCCAAAAATGCATTTTTGAATAGAGTTGTGCTATTGAAATTGATCGGAAAAAGGCCATGAAAATCAATTTTTGGGTGCCTGGTAAAATGCTCCACTGTGGTCCCTAGGGGAAGGGATTACTGTAATCCCCTAGGCCTGCAGCCACCAGGCACCCAAAAATTGCTAGGTTAGGTTCCTATCTGCCCCCCGGGGAGGGGGAATTGGGGGGAAGCACTGCTGATTGTTGTGGTATCCATGGCTGCACAAGTCCCACTTGTGATCCAATGGCTGTGGATGGGATGGATTGGCGTCATCTGGGGGATCTCTTGGGGATGTCCGGCGAATCCAAAGGTTTCGTTTTATAGTGAGGGATGACCCCCTAGATTTTATAGGGAAGTATGAGTGGGATATATAGCTAACATGGCATCCCACATGGCTGCATACTGGCACTTTTATCCGCAATATTAACGTAGCAATTTTCCCTAGTTTTCATTGGAAAGTTGTTGCTAACATGGTAATTACGCACCTTTTTTGGCTCCACTAACATGGCACCTGTAGACTGCCCAGGGCCAGAAATCCCAAAAATGCACCAGGCAATAAGAAACCCTTTTGACATCCCGGTTTCCCAGGGAATGACAACCAAATGCAAAGAATGTAAAGTGAAGAACACCCCAAGTAACAGCCTAACATAGCAATTGCCAATGGCCAAATACCAACTGAAAACACCTGAAGGAAGACCCTAACATAGCAAGTGAAGCACTTTGTTTCCAAAAAATGTTACTTAAATTTACTTAAACTTACCCTGCCAAAATCTGAAAACACCCGAAGGTATTGCCTAACATGGCAACTGAGGAGCTTTGTCTCCTCAAGAGGTCCAAAAAACATTTTGAGATTAAGACGTAATGTGGCGTCCATACCCTGGTGTACGGTACCTAACCTGGTCGGATTTTTTCACATTACCCTCTCTTAAACTAACATAGCTATGGAAAATCACTTTTTTTAATGGGTAAATCCACTATAAATTGTCATTTTCAATAGCTATGTTAGTTTACCAGAGGGTAACTCACATCAGAACCCTGGGAAGACCTGGAACCCCTGCCACTCGCAACAGTAGTCCCTAACTTGGCAATTTGTGTTGCTTCTTGTCATCAGGCAACTTTACGTGACACCGCAATGGAACACATAAATTCGATAGAACTTTAGTTTTGTATTTTGTTTGCTTAACTTGGCAATGGGATCAAAGCTTCGCACGCGTGCGATAAAGACCGTCACCATGAACACTAGCTTTCAAAAATTGTTGGGCCGGAGGGGGGCTGGTCCACTCTGCGCACTAACATGGATACTGTTTTATGATGTTTTATGGATATTGTTTTTAGTTGCCATGTTAGGCAATACCATCGGGTGTTTTCAGTTTTTGGCGGGGTAAGTTTAAGTAAATTTATGTAACCTTTTTTGGAAACAAAGTGCTTCACTTGCTATGTTAGGGTCTTCCTTCAGGTGTTTTCAGTGGGTATTTGGCCATTGGCAATTGCTATGTTAAGCTGTTACTTGGGGTGTTCTTCGCTTTACATTCTTTGCATTTGGTTGTCATTCCCTGGGAAGCCGGGATGTCAAAATGGTTTTTTATTGCATGGTGCATTTTTTGGATTTCTGGCCGTGGGCAGTCCACAGTTTCCATGTTAGTGGAGCCAAAAAAGGTCCACAGTTTCCACGTTTCTTCACTAGAGAGTAGGTCCAAGTTGGGAGCCTCAGTAATTAGATGGTTAACACCCAAAAAAAAAACTGGAATCTGTGGTCCCATAGAGCTTAGATTTTGACTCAGCCCTATGGTTTCTCTATACTGCTCTATGTTTAAAAAAGTATCTAAAAAATCTGTAAATCCCACTGGGATCTCCTGCCCGCCCCTCTCTGCCATGCGAGAAGACAAGCCATCCAACCTCAGGGTTGAGCCCAAGAATCGCCATGTGAAATCACCAGGCTTCAGCCATGGGAACACCTAAGGTGTTCACCATAAAATTGCAGTAAACCATATCAGTTTTGTGACCTAGACACATTGCTTGACCCCTGCAGGCTGATGTTTGCCACTTCCCATGGAGGCATGTTTGGTAACCAAGCCCAAAGTCCACCGTACATATTGCACAGCGCCAACTAAAACTGTGATTCATGAGAATCATATCACCCACTCTCTCTCTCTATATATATATATATATCCATATGCACATGTGCAAATGATATGTAATTGTTATGCATGCACACATCTTGAACACAATGTAGCTATGTTTCCATTGATTCCAAACCCAGGATGCACCAAGGAGCACCAAGGAGCTGGCCAATCACTCTCCCGCACTCGTGGAGAGAGTGGCCTGGTACCTCCAGCGGCTCCAGCGGAGGGTTTCCATGGGGGATCTCCAATAGCTGGACGGTTTGTAATGGAAAACCCTAATCTAAAATGGATGATGAACAGGGGTACCATTTTAGTACTCCAAATTCTGTATCAAATGAACCAGTGGATTTCCAATTCACGGGCAGCGCACGGCCATCACGGCCACCCACAGATGCCCCAAGGTTCAGTACGTCGACCTGTCGTCAATTGGTCGCCAAAATCTTAGGAAACAATGGGACTTAACATGGCTCAACCATATCATTTATAGATATTGATATATACGCATTCATGTGGATATTACGGGAATATGTATATATAATATTATATATATAATATAATATATATATATGTAGGATCTAAGCGTCAACAATGGTGACCAATGGGATATGGGATAATTAACAATGATGAAACTTCCAAGGGTTCCTCATTGTAATTGCCCATGGCAACTCCTTCCAAGATGCAACAATCTGGTTACAGACTTCGGGGACTTACCCTGCGTTCCAGACTCATGGCAACCCGCTTTGGTCATCGGCAAGACCACATGTTCAATGGTAAGATTCCGGACTTCGGTCGTGCATTGAATGACTTCCCCCATGAAACCTACAAGTAGTTTACCTTTTCGGAGGATCTCGGCACGGTTACTGATCGGTATTCAGCTCTCAATAAACGGGTTTTCACTGGCCATCACGGCCCCAACGATCGGTGAAGATCTCAGAGCCCCTGCGAATTGTTTGGACAATTTGTTCTCGAGGGTGTACGTGTATACTATAGTATATCAATATGATATGTATATGATTATATATGAAGGTATTTCTATCTATGTCTGTGTATTTCTTTGTGCACATATAGAACTCTCTATGTATATAGGTACATAGATATTGGGATAGTATTCTTAGGTTCTCCAAAGCTTAAAAATATTCTCATTGCACCTAACCACCCCGCCAGTATACCCCACCCCAAATATACAATAAATAGTCCCATGGTTTATCCCGATTCAAATTTATTCACAGAGAAGTTATCCTATTTGATCCCATGGTTTGTATCATTTATTCCCATGTTGTCCCATGTCATTCGCGCATCCCGCTGCCTCAACCTCCTGCTCTGTAGACACGGCTGCGAACATAGCCACCATGCGCGCCTTCACCGCTGCGTTTTTTGTGGAAACGACCGCTTTTGAGAGGTATCACCTGTAATTTTGTAACCGAATGATGAACATGCGGGCTGAATATGGCATTTTTGGGAGACACTGATTACCTTACAACATTTTGGATCGCAAAACAATCACCCCCATGTTTGGTAAGTTGGAGCTCTTGACACAACAAAGTTCTTCAACGTGCAAGTATTTCGCAGGTAGAGTGCAACTGTCTGCAACTACATATGTGTATATATATATATATGTACACATGTATATACACAAACATATATATATATACATAATTATACATATGTATATTCGTACTTGCAAACGAATATTCAAATCCATATGTCTAAACATGTACGTACGTACATAGGTAGGTAGGTCGGTAGGTAGGTAGGTATATATGTACGTCCGTACGTATGTACGTACGTATGTATGTATGACTGTATGCATTCATGCATGCATGTATGTGTATATGTATATGTATATGTATGTGTATGTGTATGTGTATCCGCCGACCCCGGCAGACGCAAGGGGGAGTGCGTAAGGGAAAAAGAGTTTATGACACAGCTGCCAGGAAAGAATAATAATAATTCAGGGCCATGGTGTTTCTCCGTTCGAGAGTGGTGTCTTTGTGGGTGAGCAGCACCTCTTCAGCAGCAGAAGACCAAAGTAGCTAAAATTATCATTTTCTATGGGTTTCAGAAGCGACGTTAGAGACTTTTGTGGGTGAGCAGCACCTCTTCAGCAGCAGAAGACAAAAGTAGCTAAAATCATCACACCTTTTCTATGGGTTTCAGAAGCGACGTTAGACACGGAAGAGTAGCAGCAACAGGAGCAGCAGGAGGGTTCTATGGTTTTGAGCCTCCGGAGGAAGAGCAGCAGCAACAACAGGAGCAACAGGAGGGTTCTATGTCTCATTGTACAAACAGTGGTATAAAAATTGGTCGAAAACTATAAAACCTTGTCCAAAACTATTGTTTTTCTAGGGTTTCAGAAGGGACGTTAGGCACTTTTTGGGCTCGATTTTGGCGCTGTTCCGTCCTTCAGGGCCACTGTGTTTCCCTGTCCGGGAGGGTGCGTTTTTTCAGCCTCGGGAGGAAGAGCAGCAGCAGCAACAGGAGCAACAGGAGGGTTCTATGTCTCATTGTACAAACAGTGGTATAAAAATTGGTCGAAAACTATAAAACCTTGTCCAAAACTATTGTTTTTCTAGGGTTTCAGAAGGGACGTTAGGCACTTTTGGGCTCGATTTTGGCGCTGTTCCGTCCTTCAGGGCCACTGTGTTTCCCTGTCCGGGAGGGTGCGTTTTCAGCCTCGGGAGGAAGAGCAGCAGCAGCAACAGGAGCAACAGGAGGGTTCTATGTTTCATTGTACAAACAGTGGTATAAAAATTGGTCGAAAACTATAAAACCTTGTCTAAAACTATTGTTTTTCTAGGGTTTCAGAAGGGACGTTAGGCACTTTTTGGGCTCGATTTTGGCGCTGTTCCGTCCTTCAGGGCCACTGTGTTTCCTCGTCCGGGAGGGTGCGTTTTCAGCTTCGGGAGGAAGAGCAGCAGCAGCAACAGGAGCAACAGGAGGGTTCTATGTCTCATTGTACAAACAGTGGTATAAAAATTGGTTGAAAACTTATGTGCAAACAGTGGTATAAAAATTCGTTGAAAACTATAAAACCTTGTCCAAAACTATTGTTTTTCTAGGGTTTCAGAAGGGACGTTAGGCACTTTTTGGGTTCGATTTTGGCGCTGTTCCGTCCTTCAGGGCCACTGTGTTTCCCCGTCCGGGAGGGTGCGTTTTTCAGCCTCGGGAAGGAAGAGCAGCAGCAGCAAAGGAGCAACAGGAGGGTTCTATGTCTCATTGTACAAACAGTGGTATAAAATTGGTTGAAAACTAAAAAAGAAGAGGGTTTATGTCTGCATTGTCAACGTGGTATAAAATTGGTCGAACTAATAAAACTATAAAAAACCTTGTCCAAAACTATTGTTTTTCTAGGGTTTCAGAAGGGACGTTAGGCACTTTCTGGGCTCGATTTTGGCGCTGTTCCGTCCTTCAGGGCCACAGTGTTTCCCCGTCCGGGAGGGTGCGTTTTCAGCCTCGGGAGGAAGAGCAGCAGCAGCAACAGGAGCAACAGGAGGGTTCTATGTCTCATTGTACAAACAATGGTATAAAAATTGGTTGAAAACCATAAAACCTTGTCCAAAACTATTGCTTTTCTAGGGTTTCAGAAGGGGCGTTAGGCACTTTTTGGGCTCGATTTTGGCGCTGTTCCGTCCTTCAGGGCCACTGTGTTTCCCCGTCCGGGAGGGTGCGTTTTCAGCTTCGGGAGGAAGAGCAGCAGCAGCAACAGGAGGGTTCTATGTCTCATTGTACAAACAATGGTATAAAAATTGGTTGAAAACTATGTACAAACAGTGGTATAAAAATTCGTTGAAAATTATAAAACCTTGTCCAAAACTATTGTTTTTCTAGGGTTTCAGAAGGGACGTTAGGGACTTTTTGGGCTCGATTTTGGCGCTGTTCCGTCCTTCAGAGCCACTGTGTTTCCCTGTCCGGGAGGGTGCGTTTTCAACCTCGGGAGGAAGAGCAGCAGCAGCAACAGGAGCAACAGGAGGGTTCTATGTCTCATTGTACAAACAGTGGTATAAAAATTTGTCGAAAACCATAAAACCTTGTTCAAAACTATTGTTTTTCTAGGGTTTCAGAAGGGACGTTAGGGACTTTTTGGGCTCGATTTTGGCGCTGTTCCGTCCTTCGGGGCCCCTGTGTTTCCCTGTCCGGGAGGGTGCGTTTTCAGCCTCGGGAGGAAGAGCAGCAGCAGCAACAGGAGCAACAGGAGGGTTGTATGTTTCATTGTACAAACAGTGGTATAAAAATTGGTCGAAAACTATAAAACCTTGTCTAAAACTATTGTTTTTCTAGGGTTTCAGAAGGGACGTTAGGCACTTTTTGGGCTCGATTTTGGCGCTGTTCCGTCCTTCAGGGCCACTGTGTTTCCCCGTCCGGGAGGGTGCGCTTTCAGCTTCGGGAGGAAGAGCAGCAGCAGCAACAGGAGCAACAGGAGGGTTCTATGTCTCATTGTACAAACAATGGTATAAAAATTGGTTGAAAACTATGTACAAACAGTGGTATAAAAATTCGTTGAAAATTATAGAACCTTGTCCAAAACTATTGTTTTTCTAGGGTTTCAGAAGGGACGTTAGGCACTTTTTGGGTTCGATTTTGGCGTTGTTCCGTCCTTCAGGGCCACTGTGTTTTCCCGTCCGGGAGGGTGCGTTTTCAGCCTCGGGAGGAAGAGCAGCAGCAGCAACAGGAGCAACAGGAGGGTTCTATGTCTCATTGTACAAACAGTGGTATAAAAATTGGTTGAAAACTATAAAAAAACAGGAGGGTTCTATGCCTCATTGTACAAACAGTGGTATAAAAATTGGTCGAAAACTATAAAACTATAAAACCTTGTCCAAAACTATTGTTTTTCTAGGGTTTCAGAAGGGACGTTAGGCACTTTTTGGGCTCGATTTTGGGGCTGTTCCGTCCTTCAGGGCCACTGTGTTTCCTCGTCCGGGAGGGTGCGTTTTCAGCCTCGGGAGGAAGAGCAGCAGCAGCAACAGGAGCAACAGGAGGGTTCTATGTCTCATTGTAGCAAACAATGCTATAAAAATTGGGTTGAAAAGCATCAAAAATTGAACCAAAATTGGTCCAAAAACTATTGTTTTTCTCTAGGGTTTTTCAGAAGGGACGTTAGCCACTTTTTGGGCTCGATTTTGGCGCTGTTCGTCCTTCAGGGCCACTGTGTTTTCCCCGTCACGGGAGGGTGCGTTTTTCAGCTCTCGGGAGAAGAAGCAGCAGCAGCAACAGGAGCAACAGGAGGTTCTTATGTTTCATTGTACAAACAGTGGTATAAAAATTGGTCGAAAACTATAAAACCTTGTCTAAAACTATTGTTTTTCTAGGGTTTCAGAAGGGACGTTAGGCACTTTTTGGGCTCGATTTTGGCGCTGTTCCGTCCTTCAGGGCCACTGTGTTTCCCCGTCCGGGAGGGTGCGTTTTCAGCTTCGGGAGGAAGAGCAGCAGCAGCAACAGGAGCAACAGGAGGGTTCTATGTCTCATTGTACAAACAGTGGTATAAAAATTTGTTGAAAACTATGTACAAACAGTGGTATAAAAATTCGTTGAAAACTATAAAACCTTGTCCAAAACTATTGTTTTTCTAGGGTTTCAGAAGGGACGTTAGGCACTTTTTGGGTTCGATTTTGGCGCTGTTCCGTCCTTCAGGGCCACTGTGTTTCCCCGTCCGGGAGGGTGCGTTTTCAGCCTCGGGAGGAAGAGCAGCAGCAGCAACAGGAGCAACAGGAGGGTTCTATGTCTCATTCTACAAACAGTGGTATAAAAATTGGTTGAAAACTATAAAAAACAGGAGGGTTCTATGCCTCATTGTACAAACAGTGGTATAAAAATTGGTCGAAAACTATAAAACTATAAAACCTTGTCCAAAACTATTGTTTTTCTAGGGTTTCAGAAGGGACGTTAGGCACTTTTTGGGCTCGATTTTGGGGCTGTTCCGTCCTTCAGGGCCACTGTGTTTCCCCGTCCGGGAGGGTGCGTTTTCAGCCTCGGGAGGAAGAGCAGCAGCAGCAACAGGAGCAACAGGAGGGTTCTATGTCTCATTGTACAAACAGTGGTATAAAAATTGGTTGAAAACTATAAAAACTTGTCCAAAACTATTGTTTTTCTAGGGTTTCAGAAGGGACGTTAGGCACTTTTTGGGCTCGATTTTGGCGCTGTTCCGTCCTTCAGGGCCACTGTGTTTCCCCGTCCGGGAGGGTGCGTTTTCAGCCTCGGGAGGAAGAGCAGCAGCAGCAACAGGAGCAACAGGATGGCTCTATGTCTCATTGTACAAACAGTGGTATAAAAATTGGTTGAAAAGCATCAAAAATTGTCCAAAAGGGTCCAAAATATTGTTTTTATAGGGTATTCAGAAGGGACGTGAGGCACTATACA